CCAGACGCCTGTTTACGTGCGCCACCTCTCGGCGAGCGGCGCCGCTCCTCCCGTCATATTTCAACCCCGGGACGGCCCCTGCTCCGCCCCGTATTTGTGTGGCGTCCGCTGGCCCGGTGACTCCGGCGCAGAGAGGCTGGGCTTGTCGGCGCAGCAGCTCCCGAGGTCGAGCTGGGCTGAGAGTGCAGGCCGGCAGAGGCCGGCGGGGCCGCGGTCGGGGCCATGCTGGGCAAGGACTACATGCTGGCCATAATTCTGGTCAACTGCGATGGTGTGCACGGAGGGGTCCGATGGGAGGGAGGACCGGGAATTGAGAGGGGAAGAGGGAAGGTGAAGGGCTACTCCAAGGCTCAAACTCAGGGAGGAGGGTAGGTCCTGGGGTGAGAACCAGGGTACAAATGAACCCTGATCTTTGCACTGTAATAATATCCAAGATTGGGAGCCTGGACCTCCAGGGTAAGGGTTGACAGGGTGTTATTCTGCATCCACAAATATGCCCTCCTCCAATCCCGTGTTCCCCCTCCTCGTTCCGTGTTCCTGTAGATGACTTGTGGGGGGACCAGAGTCTGGAGGGAGAGCCAGGCCTGCCCCCTGGCTGGAGAAAGATCCACGATGCTGCCGGTACTTACTATTGGCACGTACCAAGCGGTAGCACCCAGTGGCAGCGCCCAACCTGGGAGCCAGGAGATGCAGAGGAGCCAGGCACGGTAGGTGCAGTGTGAGGAGGGGGCCTGAGCCCATGTGTGGACCTAGCCTGCTGCTACACTGACTTAGCCCCCTCTCTGCAGAGGCCGGAAGGGATTTGGGGACTTCGGCCTCCCAAGGGGAGATCCTTCTCCAGCCTGGAGAGCTCACTGGACCGGAGGTAACAGGGATAGGCCAGGCCAGGCCGGGCCAGGGGGTTCCATGGCACTCAGAGATGCAGCTGGATCCACAGTCTGCTTTCCAGCCCAGGTTCTGAACTCTGACTCATGTTTTGACTCAGTATTTTGAGTTTTGGTCTAGTTCCAAGCTCTGTCTTTTGCCACATGTTCTTTTCCGTATGCTGCGTCCTGACTTACCATGTTCTGGACCTTGGGCACTGTCCTGGGATCTGTCCATGGAGATTCCTGTCCTGTGTTCTAGGGTCTCTTGTCCCCATTTGGAGCTCTGGTTCACGTTTTGAACCCTGCTCTATGTTTACAACTTTTATTCTATGTCCTGTGCCCTGATTTTTTCCTCAGATTCGAAGTCATACTCTTTATGTTACATTTGTTTAATATGTCCTGGGGCCTCCCCGCTCTGGTTTTATATTTGGGACTTTATATTCTGGGTCTTATCCCACATGTTTTGCCTATTATGTAGTCTGTGCCTCACCAGTGTCCCTTCTGTAGGAAGTGTGGTCCCTTACCAGCTCTGCTCTGTTCCAGTAACTCTCTGTCCTGGTATGGTGAGGAATCCTACATCCAGAGCATGGAACCAGGGGCTAAGGTAGTGACTTGGGCCTGAGGGCCAGCCCGTGGCATTGGGGAAGGCCCCCAGGGAAAGGTCAGGGGTGGGATTGGGCTGAGCAGAGATGATCAAGGGAGGGGGGATCAGAGGGTTCGTATGTGTGTAGCCTGTGGCATCTTCTACCCTGCTCCACCTCTACTCACTTGGGGCCCTTCTGTCCTTTCTCCTCACCTGCCAGTGCTTTGCAGTCCGCTCTCTGGGCTGGGTAGAGGTACCTGAAGAGGACCTGG